CTATGCTCTCTGTGCCTGCCTGGCAGTCACTCCTTCAGTTCGCTGTCTATGAGACTTGAAACTGGATTAGAATGAATTAAGGAAGGGAAAGGAAAACTAGCAGGATACGCAGTAGGAGCGCAGTGGGGTAAGGTGCACTGCAACATCAAGATGCAGTTCACTGAAGATGAAGGTAGAAATCTCTCTATCTCTCTAGTTTCGACCGACGGATAACGCTGCGATGATGTGATGCGCCGGCACCGCGCCGTTTTGCGCTAGGTGGTGCACGAAATGCGCGCGTGCTGCGCCGCGGCAACATATTATATCGGTCTTGGCTCGGCGCCCCCGTATCTTGTTGACTAGTCATCTAAAACACAGACGCCGGCCGACATGAGCGAAAACTTTGATCTCTGCGCAGCTTGCGGTATCGGCGGTGAATTGATTTGTTGCGATACCTGTCCACAGGTATTCCACCTCGAGTGCGCCGCGGTGCAGTCTATGCCTAGTGGCGACTGGTCATGTCCTGTTTGTTCGAGCAGAGATGAGGATGACCACAAGGTGCTCGCACCGCCCTGTACCTGTATTGATGCCTCTACTAGGTACGCAAAATGCAGGCGTCCCGCCAAGGCGAAGAACGAATATCACCGATCGATTCGGACATTTTCAAGTTCAATTTCGCAGCGGCTACCCATGTTCACAAAGGCGTGTCTTTATTCAATCTTTTGCAGCTCTTGCAATTATGGACCCCACATCATGTATTCTCCAAGGTGACGAAGATATGTACACTGCTCCACCAGCTACCCGGCAGCAATGATGCACGAAAAATGCCGCTTACCGGTTGGGAATTAGGAGTACCTCTCTTGTTGCGAAATCTGGCAGGCGTTCTTGGCCCAACACAATTGATTGCCGCCCTGGAGGCACTCGAGGGTCCATATAGCTCTCAGTACCGCATACTGTCTGAGTCATTTGGTGTCTGTTTGCTGGTTGGACACAAAACTGCAGTGGAGAGCAAATGTAAGGAGTGTGGCAGCATTCTTTATCTGCGTGGTGCATGTCTGGCGTGCGGACAGGCCCTCCACTGCAAGGATTTCCAACTGATCCCGGCGCCGGTGCCATCTTGTATTCAGAGGGAAAACCTGCGATGCTTTCAAGAGCAAAACCTGCGATGTTCAACGCAACAGCAGATGTCAACACCCGTGGTAAGAGACCTTGACTTGCTGGAAAACGCCCGTAAGGAACGAATACTAGCAGGAGTTTCATACCTGGCTAGGTGTGGCAGCGATGAAGCAACGTTTGACAAATTTGGTGGTGATATTATTTTTTTGTTTCGGAATCTAGTACACTCTGCGGGCGGCAGTGCGATTCAGTCACACAATTTCGCCATGGAAGATAGCACAGAAGTTAGTACGCATATAGCGGGCCACCTGCACTCTCTGATCAGGCACTGGATGGCTCAGCACATCCGGATTAGTACTGAGATGGAACTCGAGAGAATTCTCAACATGGTAGAAGCACTGCATGTACTCACTCAGCTCGGCATAAGTGACAGCGATTCTCTCCCTTCGTTACAACAAATGATGGAAACGCTTACATCGTTCGCCCACCCAATTGTAAGCACACACATTGCCTTGAACAGTCGCAGCGTCTCATAACTTAACAGCCTTTCATGGCCAAAAGGTCTGATGTAGACACACCGCGTTGGTGCCAACTCAAACACTGGTGGACAAGTTAATGATGATAGAGCTTCAAAGCGAACTCTTAGATGTCTTTCGCAACAGTGTCATCAATCTTATTTTCCTCTACAATGTCACCTCAGCCTTTTGTCTCGGCGATGTAAAGCGGCGACTTAGCACTGCAATTCTCAACTTTGATGTCAGTGATATCCTTGGTTGTGACCCAACGGCTGGACAGATCCCTAAAACAGACTCTCGGCATTGTGCACATTGTGACTACAGTGAACTTGACATTATACACACATAAGACCTGCTAGAACCCGTGAATTTAATGTGCAGGTGGCAAGGAGAATGCAAGGGGACAATCAAATTGTGCCGACTGTAACTCGTTTTTACGTTCAAAAATTGACTATGGTTCATTGACGGATGCTCTTGTCTGGGGCTATCTGTTTGAGGAAATCAGCATACCTCTCGTGTGTAATAACGCGGAAGTCTCGTTTGTAGACGTGATTACTCATCTGCCGTCCGTCCGCAAGTAAGGATTACATATCTAGTGCGAGACCCATCGATTTCCCTCAGCTACCAGCGCATTGATGAACTCGGTCATGATTTTTATCGCCTCCAGTGCTACTTTGTGACTCATCTAATCTATGTATTATCCGACTGGGGTCGTCATCTCCTCGAACGTTCCCTTTTTGAAGAAGAACTCTCGTTTATTGTTTCAAATCTAATTCAGGCACATAATGCATCACCCTAACAAGGGTGGATGATAATGACCACACATAGGTAATCTCAATGGATGACCCCGAACTCACAGGGGAATTTCTGCAGTGCCTGCGCATTCTTGGCATATCTCGCAAAAGTGACGTGGCAATATGGCCTTTAATTTTACAAGTTTGCTGAAACGCTCGCCATTTGGAGCAATACAGCGTTACATCTTTATACCTTGCGACTTTTATAGTCAATGGTTCCAGGCAATGAACTACCTCTTGGACGTGCAACAACGAAATAGTACTCCTGGACTGTGGTCGAAATCCTCTGACCCGTACGATCGATATCATACCACGTATTGCACTACTATTGGCTTGCTATCGTACGATCTTTCTGCTGATGACGACGGGGCTGATGAGCCTCCACCGTCGATCCCTCGTGCTTTTTATGTTCGAACGCTGTAGCAAACTTACAGCGGACACACCTCAACCCATATTGGGACACGACGTAACCATCACATGGATCTTGGTATTGAAGGAGAATATTCTGACCGGGAGCGTGGGGTGGCGACAGCGGGATCCGTTACGATTCGTCGATGGTGGAATGAAGCACCCCCCCCCGCCCCAGCGCCCCCTTCAAGAGGTGTCACCGAAAATCAATGGCGCCTTCCGCGACCCCGATTGGAGCGCGATTCTGGCTTCCTACCCGGATTGGCAACTGGCGGGCGTTCTGCCCTGGAATCTGGGGCTGGGGCTGCGTTTGAGCACGCCTGAGAGGCGTTGCGTGCGCCGCGACATTTTCAAGTTAACT